AAAATCGGAGGACTATAGAGTTATTCTCCCACCACTATCACTCCACACACATATCCTATAACCACATCAATAGGGCTCATAAATAATAACAAGAGATTACAGCTAAAAAGCCCTGCAAGTCTCAGACCCTATTTACAAATGAGCCTATAGGGAAATGCAAAGACAACAGTGAAGTAAAAAACAGGACATCAAAAGAAATTTTAGCCTCTGACATCTACAGCTACAGCAAATTATAAACACAGACAAACTATAAAACCTCACACAAAAAGTTACCTCCATTCCTTTACCAATATATGAAGTTTACCTTTCAACAAAAAAATATAAGCCATGCTAAAAGGCAAAAAAAAAAAAAAAAAAAAAAAAAAACCAGTTTGAAGAGACAGAGCTGAACTTAGGTATGGCAGAGGTTCTGGAATGATCAGACCTAGAATTTAAGTACAAGTAATATGCTAATGACTCTAATGAAAAAAGGAGCAATATGCAAAAACAGTTGGGTAATGTAAGCAGAGAGATGAAAACTCTGAGAATAAAAAAATCATGCCAGAAGTAAAATTTGCTGTGACAGAAATGAAAAACGCCTTTAATGGGCTCATCGGCAGAGTAGACACAGCCAAGGAAAGAATCAGTGAGCTTGAAGATATGTCAATAGAAACTCCTCAAACTAAAAAGCAGAGATTTATTTAAAATAGGAAAAAAAAAAAAAAACAAAAAAAAAACCTGGAAAAAAAGGAGTAGACTATCCAAGAAGTGTGGGGCAAATATACAAGATGGAACATACAAATAATAAGAATTTCCAAAAGAGAAGAAGGAAAAAAGACAGAAATAATATTTGCAGCATTAATGGCCAAGAATTTTCAATGGATGGGACTTGCTATGAGGATAAAAGGGGAAATTAGGGAATGTAAAAAACTGTTTCAGCTACCAAGGAAAGTACCTCATGGAGAATTAGAGTACCTTATCTGTCTCATCACACAACATAATCTAGTAGTAGATATTCCCATAGATCATTTTTCTACTATGAGTGGGTCTGGTTCTGTTTTCTGACTACTTTCTTCCTTCTTCTACCTCATGTTCTTTGTTTACATGGTTTCTGTCACCTTATGCCAGCTGCTTTTCTCTGGGTGTCTCTTAAAGGCCTTCTGATCCGTTTAGTGTCTGCGTACCTCTCTCTATGTTCCTATTCTACTCCACAAGGGATAATCTGACTGGGTTAATCGCTCCCTAACATAACCATCCCTACTAGACATAATTCATTCTTCAATCCACCTGATAGGTTGATAGATGATTGTATTTGGCTCTGGTGTCAATTCCCAATCTAATAATATTTGAGATCAAAGCAAAGTCATGTAATAAAATGAATTAAAGACAAGAAGATGCTTCCTACTTCATGTTTGGAAGGGACCATTGGCATGGTGGCCTCATAGTATGTTATTAATTTATCAAAATTTCTAGGCATTTGGTAGCATGTTGCAAAAGGCAAACAAGTTTCCAAAGAAAATGGTAACTTTGAGTCAATATATCCTTTTCTTGTTGAGCTCCATTTCTGTCTTAAACTCTCATTGAAATTATGTTGTGCATTCCCCACCAATAATGTCAACTATTGAGAACGAATACCCCAATGGAGAATGATATCACCCATGCAGGCACAGGGAGTGTGAAATGTAACATTGCTGGTGACAGTCCTGGGGTAAACTCTGAAAGTCAACAGAACCCAAGCCAGACTTCCCAGACCACCCAGTGCACTCTTGTGACAGACCAGGACTGACAGGTACAAAGAGAGTAGAAAGATATTGATCTGCCATCCCAAAAGCAGCTGTACACTGTACATTCATTGTTCAAGCAGCTGTACAGCTGTACATTCTTGATAGTCCCATTCCTTGAGTTATTTCACTATGTCACCTGTCCCAAAATATTTTTAGCTATGCCTCTACTAAACACGTGGCTTGAAGAAGCAAAGATAAAAACGTAGGCTGCAGCCTAGGGTTGTGTGTGTGTTTCTGTGTGTGTGCACATGTGTGCATGCACATATCACTCTGTGTGTGTAATTTTTCCCTCAAGAGCACAATGTTTGAAGAAATGTATTTTTCATCTACCTGATTTCAATTTAGGCTGTCAATTTTCTGAAGCATATAAAATCAATGTAGGAAGAAAGCATAGTATTCTATTAGTGCTTGCTTTTCACTTGAATTCAAGTTAAAGATGAATGTGCTTCCTCTCTCCTAGTTTTCAAGGGATCACATTGAACTAACTTCCCCTCTGTACACATATGACACACAGCAGTAAGGGAAAGGCATCAGGACAACATCATTCCTTTTAGTTCTCGACTGTGTTTGACCTTCCTGGACACCTTTCTTAGGGAGGAGGAGAGTGCTTTGCTCTACATCCACATGGAGGGCTATGTGTGAGTAAAGGCTATGAGATGAAGATAAGAACCCTCTTGTCTTTAACCAGCCCTCTCTGGCCTCAGAATCAAAAGAAGAGGTCTCATGCATCACATCTTTTCTATTATCTTTGCCCACTATGCATACCATTTCTCGGTAAGAAATAGAGTGAGAATTCTGCTTCCTACTAGAAACATGTATTTAAGAAAGACACACAAAATATGTAGCAACACAGTGTTCCCATTTTACCAATTTTCTCTGGTCCCACATACATTATAACCCAATTGCTACATTGCTATAAAATATGCATTTCATCCTAATCTGTTTCTTTGGATAGATTTTCAGGGAAAAAGAAGCAAACATTGTCCTCCATAACACCTTTGTCTTACAAAAAAAAAAAAAAATGGCTATCACCATTGTCACTATTCAATTTGAAAAAGAAAATATGACAATTATTTATTCAGTCACCAAAATGCATTGAGTGCCTCAATATTCATAAATGTTCTTTATACATGTCTGTGGGAACTTAAAATGGACACTTTTCTCATTTTAAAGATGAAGAAACAAAGTCACAGAGAAGTTAGATGATTTATCGAAACTAAGAAACGGAATATAATTGCAAAAATGAGATTTTTTTTGAGTCAGGCTTAGTGATTGACAGCCAAATCACTTCACTTACATTTCACACAACAGCTCCAAATGTTGCCATCCTTTAGGAAGCGTGAGATAGATAGATGGTAGGTAGATAGATAGATATTAATAGGTAGATAATCATGTAACATAATGCAAGTATTTGCTTTTACCTCAGTTACATAAAATCTGTGGTGACTTTACACTCTGTTTTAATTAAAAAGATGTTCAAAGTCAACTTTATTTTTCACTGGAAAAAAATATGCCAAAATGCTCCCTAAATAAAAAAAGAAAATTGACCAGACTTACTTTGTTCCCTCTCTTACCAGTCTCTTGTTCATGAATTAGCATTAATGAAGGGAAGAACAAGAGTGAACTTCCCTTATCTGGAGAGTAAAGCAAGCCCCAGATATACTGAGGGCTTAGTGTACATGCTGCATAATGGTATTTCTGAAGAGTAGTGAATTCTATATTCAAACAGAGGTCAGCAAATAAATCCAGAGTGTCTGAGTGCTTGATTATTTTCTTTTTAAAGATGAGCTGCTCTGATGGTTGCAAGTTTTCATTTTCCAGCTCTAACACAGAGTAGTCACAGATGCAAACACGGACACTTTGCCTGCAGTCTCAATATAGATTAATTATCTAGCTGCCAGAAACCATGAGTGGGCTATGCTGTTTCCATGATAAACCCCAACCCTCCCTCACTCGGAGACAAAAGAAACACACAGAGAGAGGCGACAGCCTCAAACCATAGTTATTTCACCTTGAATAGACTTTCCAAATGAAGCCCTTTCATTTTTCTTTCTGTATCAAAACATTAAAAACCAAAAAGGAATTTCAAATCCTGTTTTTCTTCATTAGTGTATCACAAACAGCTAATTAGAAAAGATTTCTCTTACTAAATGATTTAGTTTTTATGTCTGTTTTAACACTTGAAAGGTTACAGCTTCAGGAAAGGAAGAAAGAGCCTTAATTAAAGAATGAATTATTGAATATTCAGTTTTAATTGATGTTGCCCCATGCTATTATTTTGCATGTTTATAGATGTTTCCTGTGATTCTGTTATCAGAATAACCAAAGAGAGAGACATTGACTACTGAGCCTAAAAAAGAGGAGGGCTTTTGCCTGATCACATTCAGCCATTTAAGTTCAAGAATCAGCTGAAGCGTGGTTTCCATGACAACAAGTCACTAATTGCGAACATAAAATAAAGTAAAAAATCAGCCTTCCTTGAATTTGGCAGCTACAAAGATGATGCCTAATTTTTTTTAAACAGTGAAATGGCACTTTTCCTTAGGGAATCCCTCGAGTCATTTTCCTGAATCCGAGAAGGTACTCCATTGTAGGGTTAATTCTAGTCTGGCAAAGGTGTCAGCGGCAAACTGCCCAGACGCGCCAGGCTTTGATTACCAACACCTAGCTTTTAGTAAAGATAAGAGGAGATGGTTACAATGAGGAATGAAGGACTTTTGCATTTCTGAGCTACAGAACAGAAGAGAGCTGCTGAGGCAGATAAATGAACCAAAGAAATGTCTACCAAATTCTGGATTTGAACATCCTTTAGACAAGCGGGGTGGGGGAAGCAAATTGAGGGGCAAAGTTGAGTTCAAACCTAAATTTGGCCACTTTCCATGGAGTTAGTCACCTGTGCTCACTCACTAGCAAAGATTTCTGGTTTCTCTGCCTGGCAGATTTTTAAAAATCAAACAAAAAAGCGAACCCTTTGAGATTTGGAAACCTGTTCGACTGACACAATGGCACCATTCAAAATTCACCAGTGTATGAACCACAGCATATCATTTGTAAAAATTGCTTCAGCCTGAGTTACCTTTCACCAGCTCTCTAAGTCTACTCACTGGGTCACTAGGAGTGAGCAAGTACATTTTGATAAATTCTGTTTCCATGACGATGAATTAACCAGTGAAAAGGGGGAGGTGTTGAAAGATCTGTATTCTGTAGAATACTCTCAAATGTTTTCCTGTTTTCATTTTTAGCCATTTAGTTCTCATGGCTCTGTTCCAGGACTCTTTAATTTGCCAGTAGCTGTTTTTCCTACACAGATTACAGGAGTAATTCATCAGTGAATGTTTCACTCAGTGGTCCCATCTAATGTAAGGAAACATAAAAATGAATTTTTCCAATTATGCCTTTTTGTTTGTTTAGAAAGAATGTAGTAAGCTTTTTTCCTTTTCTTTTCTCACAATCTAGCTGTAGTGTTCTTATTCTCCCTTATTTATTGACCATTACCTTACACAGGCTACAATTGTAATTTGTAAGATGTTGGGATCTGCTTTTAAATATCAATAAATCCCCGAAAGGCAATGATTTTTGAGTTTAGTGGACTGAAACCCCAAAGGGGGACGTAAAGAGAAAAAAGAACATTAAAACATGCAGGCCCAGTACATGTTACAATGAAGCAAAGTGTTCAGAAAAAAAATTAAGAAAGCAATAGAGCCTTTCCCTTACTAAATTACTTTAAATTGGCTTACTTATATACAATGGGATCTGTTTATGTTATTTCAGCATTTATCTACTCCTGAATTTAATGATAAAACTACTATGCCCTTGGGGAGCAAAAAAAGAAAGTAATTCTGATGCATTTGTTTTCCAAATGATGCAAATAGCAAGAACTCATATATTTGCACCAGGAAAAAATGGATAGGAAACTATTTTTCTGAGGTACAGGGTAAGAATAATTTTTCCATAAGACATGTGTTTCCAATCTAGGTTTGGTATGTATCTCAACAAGTAACTCATTTAGTTCATTTTAAAAACTAAATTTAAATAATGAGATTTTCCCTTTTTTTCACCTAAAATAAAGCAAATAACCAGTTTTCAATTTCCAGTTGTTTGCTTTGCCATTGTGCAGCCACCTTTTAAAGGATACTTTCATTCCTTCCCAAATTGATTCATCCTTTGCTCAAAGCAAAAAGAATTTTTACTGGGAGATGTTCTGGGCCATCAACAATTAAATTGATCAGATGTTATCCTACTCTAAGATTGAAAGTGCAAAGAACTGTGAGAATCCCAGGAAGTAGAGAAGGAAATATTTGTTATGCAAAGTTCTGCCAATCAGAACTACTTTTTAGGCGGGCACGGTGGCTCACATCTATAATCCTAGCACTTTGGAAGGCCGAGGCGGGTGGACTGTCTGAGCTCTGGAGTTTGAGGCCACCTGGGGAACATGGTGAAACCACATCTCTACAAAAAAAAAAGTACAAAAAATTAGCCACGTATGGTGGCGTGTGCCTGTAATCCCAGCTATTCATGAGGCTGATGCACGAGAATCCCTTGAACCTGAGAGGCAGAAGTTGCAGTAAGCCCAGATAGCACCACGGCACTCCAGCCTGAGCAAGAGACCGAGACTCTGTCTCAAAAAAAAAAAAAGAAAAAAAAGAAAAGAAAAGAAAAACTAAACTATCTAAACTACTTTTTAAAATTTTTAATAAATAGTAATGCAATAATATATTTTTTTTAAGTTAAAACCAGATTTCCAGGGTCATATTTGCTCTAAAAGCTTGATTTCACTACCAGGAACAGAAAGAACTTTCACATCGAAAAGAATATGGTAATTTTTCCCTCCCTCTTCAACACACAGGCACACAAAATATTATTAATATTAGTGGATTTCAGAGAATGTAGATGATTGAAAATCAAAGTAATTGTTTCAATGAATAAACCCTACTTGTTTTACAGCAGACATCTATAAACCACTATAAAATAAAACTATGCCAACCTAGAATCAGTGTATTGGTAGCTCTGAATTTGTTCACGTTGATTCAAAATAGTGAGGACAACAGTATCAGTTAACTGTATATGGACAAGGGGAAGGCTAATGGTGTCTTTTGTTCACCTGATATATGTAGTTCCTTCTGCTTCTTATGGGTAATGTGTATAGGTTGTGCTAATAGTGCCATGCTTCCCTTCCTAGACCCGAGGCCATAATGCAGGTAGCTAGCATTACAGTTCACACTGATGTTAATAGTGGAAGATTTATCTGCCAGTTGTTGCCCGGAAAATAGAGATGGCATGGTCCACCTCAAGAGGCGGCTACCTTCATACCAATGTGACCCACAGTTGGCACCAGGCAGTGCAGCAGTCAGCTCGTTAATGCTAATGTCTCCAGTGAGATATAGATAAACAGCAGCTCTCTCAGTCCTGTAGATTGAAATTGTCACAAAAATACTGTTGAGCTCAGGTGCTGATCATTAAAAATGAGTACAAATGAGAGGAATAATGGCTTGTTGATCCACCTGAGTCAAGTTTGACATCCTTATGACGCTATTTATAACTGTATAGATGTCTTTCAGCCCTCAGTGAGAGAGATTTTTGACAAAGAAAATAATGAAACTTTCTGAGTTTTTGGTTAAAATTGGTCAATAACGATACACCCTAAAAATTCCAACAATTTTAATTCATTAAATGATACACTCAACAACTACTGCATATGCCACAGAATATCTATTACTTGAAAATCTTTTTAACGCTGATGTGACATTTTATAAATATTCAGGACAATGACATTTTGAAAGGCTTGTTACTTTGTATACGTACATGATACATGTTCAAATACATAGCATATATCATAAATATGGTCACATTTAAACAACCCTGAAAAGAGGCAGTGAATATATATTCACATAACACTATAAACACTAATGAGAAATGTATATTTCTGGATCTAAAGAACAGGTATCTTCTAATATGTGCAATCTGTTCCTAAAATGTATGTAATACTTTTTAAAATCATGTAGTATTCTAATTCACTGAGACATGACTACTTGAATAAATTTTGCAATGATCATTTCAGTAAATTAGGATAGTAATATAAAAAACTATCCTCTCTATATCTGTTTTGCCACTTTACATGTTTATACCTATGATTTTTAAATACTGTGTTTAATATAAAAAATTTTAACCTACATGCCTATATTTGTTGTTTGAATTTTCCCCATTACTCTTCCCCCAGAGGTAATGCTGAGAGGTGTAGCATCAAGGGCTGTACGTTGGAGCCAAGAGATTTGAACAAAAATACTGGATCAAACATCCAGCTTTCCTACCCAGAATCTAATTCCACTGTCCATACATTTCTTCCTACTGCATAAGAACTTTATACCAACATCTAGTTTGATAAGCCAGGATCTCTGCCATCTCTAACCCTCATCTGTAAATCACATAAAATCTAAACTGCATTGAGATCATTATTTTAAAAAGCACTTTTAGTGAAGTAGATTGCTACCAATTCAGTGAGATAGCTGACATAGTCATTCACTCAACAAACATTTATGAAATGTTTGCTATGGCTTTGTCCCAAAGAGTTGGCTGTGTGTATGCAGAAGGTATATCAAGGTAGAGATTATGAGAGAGAGGTATTGGGGAGGGAACAGTAAGGTTTGCCAAAAACTTTCTGAAATGAGATAATTGAGAAAGGGCATTCCATACAAAAGGAGCAGCTGGGCAAAGGCAGAGAAGTGAAAATCAGTCTGGTTGGTATAGAGAATCACAAGGAGTTAAGTTTTGCTTGAGTATTCACTGTAAGACAAGTAGCAGGAACAAAGAGTAATGAACAAAGAGTAATGCAACGGTGGAGGCTGTGCCAAGAAAGGCTGGTAGTCATTGCTAACAACTTGGACAATATCCTGTCTTATGATCTTTGGGGTGGTGGTGGCAGTAGCTCTGATGACAGATAATGGCAGCGACAGTAAATATGCAGAGAAAAGATGAACTGAAGGAACCTTTAGGAATTAGTGTTATTAGAACTTGGTGATTGATTGGGCATGGAGGGGTAAGTAATTGCAAAATTCTATATGATGCACAAACTCTAGTTTAAGCAACTGGGTGGATGGTGGTGCCACCACCTGAGGAAATGGAGCCCATTTTGGGGAGCCTATTGAAACAGAAGTGACTGTGGAACATTCCTTAGAGATGCTTATTTGGTAATTGAACAGTTGAGTTTCAAGCTAGAGCATAGCCTTAAAGACACAGACTTGAAATCTATTGGTAAAGAATGGTATCTGAAACCATAAGGCTGAATAACATTGCTGAAAGAATATAGAAAGTGAGATGACTTGTAGATTGAGGACCCAACCCTGGGGCACAATAATTTTAGAGACTGCCAAAAAGAAAAGAAGCCAAGAAAAGAAACAGAAGGAGTTCATCAGTCATAGGAGGAGAACCCGTAATGTTAATATTATGAAAGCCACAAAAGTGAAAAACGCAGCAGAAAGGTGCAGTAAGATAAAGATGGAAAAATATACCTAATCTCCCTCTCCATCTCCTTCTAGCTGAATACTTTCTCGAATTCCGGAGCTCCAGCGACCCTCCCACCTCGGCTTCCCAAAGTGCTGGGATTATAAGCATGAGCCACTGTGCCTGGCCTCCTTAATTTCTAAGCAAGAGAAGGCCTATCCATTTATTTTATTTATTCTCTGCTTAGTCCTCAAAGCACTACAAATTCCTTAGAATAACACTTCCTGAATTTATTCTTCTCGATTAAGCTTGTAGTAAATTTTATGCAAAAGTCAGTTAAATGTTATTCTTAGTAACAAGTCTCAGAAGCACAGATTGTATCTATTGCCAGTTAAGGGTAGAAACTTTTGCTTTAATGTCAAGCTGAGAGTGCAATTGATATTTTGTGAGAATTGTGAAGCCTCACTCACAAATTGGTCCTAATAGAAAGGTATACCATTCTTCAATGCAAAAGAGAAGAAGAGCAACAAGTTGTAAGGAGGAAAGAGAATGGGCTATAAAGATAGCATAGGCTCCTGAGTCAGGGGTTAGTAGAAATACAGTGAAATGTTGACTTGGCGATTTGCACGGGAGCAACCTATCAACTAGAGACATTACCAAAGACAATCTTAATTGAGGTCAATGCAAGTAACACACCATCAAAGCTTTGTTGTTAGGCAGAGTCAGATTCTACCAACAGTCCATTTCTCATCATCTGTGTGTCTAGGGCAAATATTTAACTGTCTTAAGTTCTACTTTCCTCATTTGTAAACACGAAATAACATTATTACCTATTCCACAAACTTTTTGTAAAGATTAAATGAGATAGCATATAGAAAGCATTAGTCTAATAGAGTGACTCTCAACAAGTGGGTATTTTTGCCTCCCATGAAGGCATCTGGCAATGTTTGGAGACATTTTTGGTTATCACAGCTTTGGTGGGAGTGGGTAGAGGCCAGAGATGCTGCTAAATATCCTACACATACATATAGCACCCCACAATAAAGAATGACCTAACCCCAAATGTCAGTGGTGCCAAGGATGAGAAACACTGGTGTAGTGGTCATACATGCATTATAATAGCTGGCATTTCCCAAGTAACCACACTTAAGTGCTTAGCATTGTCTCTTCTAACCCTCACCAAAATCCCATGAGGTTGGTTCTAGTAATAAACCCAGGTTACAGACTCAGAAACACAAAAAAGAAGTAATGTACACAAGGTCACACAACTACTAGGGGGTAGAACCAGGATTCCATAAATGCTAACTATTACATTTCATGGAAAAGGAAAAACTTTTTCAGGTGTCTTCAGATGTCCAACTCTTGCCACAAGAATGACAACTTTTCCACTTCTATTCAAACATCTACGAAACTCCTACAAAATTGGTAAGCAGTGTGTTTTGATTTCTGCACTTAGATTTTTGTCTTAAATGTAGATAAAATGAAGTAATGGCTAATAGAGGAGACAATTTAGCATTTCTTAAGAGCGTTTTAACAAGACAATTGCTAGATCTACTTTTAGAGAAATCTTTTTAGTGTTAAAAATCAGTAAAACCTTACTTCAATAACTGGCATTAGGTCTTCTCTAATGCCAAAGTCAATAGCTCCTCTTGTAACAGTGTTATGGTTTAAGTACTGCTTCAGGCCTATGCTAAACTTGCACATGGGATCAAAGAGATAAAAGTCACCTGACTATATCAATTTCACTTTAGAGTCTGAAATTCTAAGGATCTGTACATTTATCCAATTGTCAGTGATGTGTCATTGATTGTTTTTTAACAATCTTTTGTATTGATGTGTTTTGCAAGGTGTTTTTCTCCTCTTTATATCTCCTTCAGGGAAGCTGAAACAAGCTGGTGAGCATGTATGTGTGTGAAACTTAAAAAAAAAATCCTAGGAAGACAACAAAGCACGCATATAAGTATTCTAAAAACTTTAATGTTTATGGAAATTTCAGCATTCTTAATTTCCAAAATTAATGAGTGAAGACAGTATAGCATACAAAGGAAAGCAATATGGTATAGTAGTTAGAAGTATAAGATTTATTGGCAGATCAGTCTTCAAATCCAAGGTGTATAATTTACTATATGATCTTGACAAAGTAACTTGATCACCCTGAGTCTCAGTTACCTTTCCTATAAAAGATGGAAAATCAGACTGATCACAGAGGGGGTATCCAAAGGTAAATTTTTTAAATTACATTTTACACTACCATATGCTGAGCACTGTTCTAGACAGAAAGGATGTGACAGTGAACTACCCTCATGCCGCTTGTAATAACAAGATTGAAATTACCTGTAATCTCAGATCGTAATAATGATTGCAAAGAAAATAATTCTAGATAAGCTAATCATGATCAGACAAGAGTAGGGGCTGGTAAGTCCTCTTAGGATGTTATCATTTGAGTCAAGACATGAAGAATATGGGATAGTGATCCTTGTGAATATTTGAGGAAGAGCATTTCAAGCAGAGGGAAGAACAAATGAGAGACCTACTGGCAGGAATATTCTGCTGAATTTGAGATAAAGCAAGGAAATCAGTAACACTATTATTCACTGACTTACGAGTTGAATTTAAAAGTTAGCCTAGGTGAATCACTTGAGGTCAGGAATTTGAGACCAGCCTGGCCAACATGGTGAAACCCCATCTCTACTAAAAATACAAAAATTAGCCAGGCGTGGTGGCAGGCGACTGTAGTGTCAGCTACTTGGGACGTTGAGGTGGGAGAATTGCTTGAATAGGGGAGGTGGAGGTTACAGTGAACCAAGATCATGCCACTGCACTCCAGCATAGGCAGCAGAGTGATACTCTGTCTCAAAATGAAAATAATAAATAAATAAAAGGTAGCCCCGGTAACTTATAGAGAAATTTATATGCCACAGTAGGATTTTGATTTTATTCTAACAGTGATGGGAAGCCATTGCACACTTTTGAGTAGGGGAGTATCATGATCCAATTGTGTTTTGAAATGATCACTTTGGCTCCTATGTGGAGAGCAGACCCTAGGGAATCAGGAATGGATACAGGATGACCAGGTAAAGGCAGTCCCAATAGGGCAGACAAGTGATGATGGTGACTTAAAAGGGGAAGATGACACTTGGAAGTAGCTAAAAGTGGTTGGATTCATGATGAATTTAAAGTCGATTCAATATAACTTCTGGTAGATTGTGAGTTGTGATAAATAAGAATGATTCTAAAGTTTTGGGCCTAAGTAACTGAGTAAATGGCAGTGCCATTTACTGAAATGGGGAAGACTAAATTCGGAATAAGTAAAAAGAAAGTGAACTATAAAGAGTTTAGTTAGAGATATGAATTAGATATTCACATGTAAATTTTTAGTAGACCATTGAATATGGTATGTATTTGAGAAAGAGATCAAAAATGGATCTTAATTGTGCATTATCGGAGAATAAAACATATTTAATTTATGAGGACTGAGTGAGATCCCTATAGGAATATACTAAAATAGAAGAGAAAAGAGGGCCAGGATCTGAGCTCTGGGGGTCTCCAATATTTAGAGGTCAAGAAGATGAAGACGATGCAGGAAAACCAGGGGATGGTGGTGCCCTAGAGTCAAGTGAACAAAGTGCATCGAGAGAAAGAAGAACCTACTGTCATACGTTCAGTGGGGCTGAGTGAGATGAGGGCAGAATGGACCACTGACGTTTGGCAACATAGAAGCCAATAGTAACCCTGAGAGGAAATGACTCAGTGGAGTCATGGGTACAAATGTCTTATTCACTGGAGTGAGTTCAAGTGAGAGTGGCAGGGGTGAAAATGAGAATGAAAAAGGTCATTAACATATTTTTGGGTAAATGAAATAAGAAAACATACGGATTTAACTCAACACTTGGCCATTATAAAGTACTGCTAAATAGTTGCCATCATGATTTTTTATCATTTCTATGGAGTCATCCCTATCATTCAAATACTATATACCATATTAAAATTTGGCATAGCCAAAACAAAAGGAATAATTATATATGTGTGCATATGCATACAAACATATACTATTTATCAAATACCTTTACCAAAAGAAAATTCATGTTTAATTATTTTGTTTCATCCTCACAACATTCTGTGGAGAAACAATATAGCCAAATGAGTTTCTCTCAGTTTTACAACAGATGAGGTTTAGGCTCACAGCTTATGCCTTGCCGAAAGTCACATGTAAAGCCAGAAATGAAACCAAGCTCTAATGACGCTGATATGGATGTGTCTCCACCCAAATCTCATCTTAAATTGTAGTTCCCATAATCCCCACGTGTCATTAGAGGGACCCAGTGGGAGGTAATTGAATCATAGGAGCAGTTTCCCTCATCCCATTCTCATGATAGTAAGTTAGTTCTCACAAGATCTGATGGTTTTATAAGGGGCTTTCCCCGCTTTTGCTTGGCACTTCTCCTTGCTGCTGCCATATGAAGAAGAACATGTTTGCTTCCCCTTACGCCATGATTGTAAGTTTCCTGTGGCCTTCCCAGCCATGCTGAAATGTGAGCCAATTAAGCCTCTTTCCTTTATAAATTACCCAGTCTCTGATATGTCTTTATTAGCAACATGAGAAAGAGCTAATACAGCCACCTACCTCTTTTGTTTTCTCAGCAATGAAGAAGTTCAATTATACCACCAAAGAGAAAAATCAAACAAGATCAATGAGAATTAGACAATGTAAATATCTAACTTTAGGAATTAACACCCCAAAAACATTTTAATTCATAAATTATTTACACATGCACTGTTAGCCACGTTGTACAATTTGTTCTTTGTCGATATGGTCAAATTCCCTCCTCAAGTGAGAAAATGTTCTGCCTTAAAAACAGATTGAAATGTTTTCTTCATATGAAATATGTAAAATAAAATAGAAAAAGGCAAAACAGTTCCTTGGGCATATATTTAACCAATCAATCAATGGCAACTACCTATGCCAAGTACTGTGTTAGGTAGTGTAGATAAAAGCAAACTCTCTTGGCACCTATAGTCTAGTGAGAGACAGATACTGATCAAATATGAAGTATTAATTTATTAAATTATAAATACATGGAGAAAAGCAACAGAGTGCCATGGAAGAGAAAAACAGAGATAAGCTAAGCATAGTGGAGTGTGCCTGTAGTCCCAGCTATTTGGGAGGCTGAGGCAGGAGGATCACTTAAGCCCAGGAGTTTGAAGCTGTAGTGTGCCACGACTGTGCCTATGAATAGCCCCTGTACTCCACCCTAAGTAATTATAGCAAGACCCGATCTCTAAAAAAGTTTTAAGAAAAAACAGGAACAACATGATCCAGTGTCACTGTGACTGATATGTGTAAAAGAGATACGAAAATATCTGGATCTTTCCACAAACCACATAGAGTCCATTCCAGAAGTCTGAAAGAGACTCTCAAAGAAAGATTCTCAAAAAAGGGAAAAATTTGATAAGGCCCTTTAACAACAGTTATGAAAGAAGAATGGGGTCGAATTACTTTTTGTTTTTTCTTTCTTTTTTTTTTTTCAGGATCTAGGGCTGAGAATTTCTTTTAAGGAGTCCATCTTTCTTGTTTCCAGATTAGTAAAAACAAGGAACAATGTGTTTCCTCTTCATTTCATTGTAAGAGAGTACTGAAGCCAAAGTTAAATATTAAAATAAGCATGAAACAATTCAAAAATGCCTCCAAGATATGTTAGCTGCTTCCATAATCCATATGAATTCCTGCTTAATTCCTTCGCAGAACCAATTTCCTATATGCAAGAGACTAGAGCTCTTTGGAGTTGTAATCAATCCAAATCCTTGTACCTTCTGAGTTGCAAACCATTCCCCATCAATGAGAGAATGTCTGGGACACATTGTGTGACAGTCTTCAAATTAGCTACTTCATACTCTATCTTTGTTAGATGCTAAACTAAACCTTCTTGTTTACTCAGCCCTCCAACCCCAAAACTGCTTGCTACTTGTTTTTACCAACCCATGCCCCACTGTTCCCCACTTTCCCAAATCATTCATCTGCATTCTCTGGAAACCCAATCTGATTAATCCTTACACATTCAATCTCTCAGAACAATTCATCTTCTACCTTAGTTAGAAATCCAAAGTTCTAACAGGAGATCTCTGAACTGTTTCAAGGACTCAGTGAAATACTTCTAAAGATTTATTGTTTCCTTTTTGTTATTTTTATATACATCTTTCTAAACTAAAAATTGTTAGTATATTACAAGAATAATGCCTCACATGGTGTGGTTGGCAAGATGGCTGAATAGGAACAGCTCCGGTCTGTAGCTCCCAGAAAGACCAATGCAGAAGGCAGGTGATTTCTGCATTTCCAACTGAGGTACCCAGCTCATCTCATTTGGACTGGTTAGATAGTGGGTGCAGCCCACGGAGGATGAGCAGAAGCAGGGTGGGGTGTCACCTCA